CGAGTCTCCCCCTCCCGGCGCTCGCTCGGGCGCCCAGGGTGGCCCGCGCCGGGCACAGGGCGCGCACACACCGCGCCCACTGCGCGCACACACCGCGCCCCGCGGGCGCGAGGGAGGGACCGGCGGGCTGGCTCCAGCCTCACCAGTCGCGCTTGGCCCTGGACACTGACCAGGGCAGCGACAGATTTGGGCACCGCAGAGACAAGGAATTCTTTGTAGGCGCGGATGGACGAATTGTCCCAATGATTTCATTAGGCAACGATTATCCCCTACTAGAATAATTCGGATTTCTGGAAGAACAGCACAGTTACACACAAACAGACACACACACACACAGTTACACACACACTCACCAAGACCAGTCTCGTCATTTTTTTTAGGAGGAGGAAACTGGCCGATTAAATAACTTGGAACACAACACAGGCAGTTCCCGGATTAGGAATGAATTCCATTTCTAAATCTGTCTTTAAATGGACTTTGTACGTAAAGCGGTTAGCTACAGTTTGTTACTGAGGTCAATTAATCAAATGTTTGTCTTAGGGTATATAAGACGGTATCTTTATATGCATAAAGAAATACTTTTGGATAGACACACACACACACACACACACACACACACTCACCCTCCGAGTTCACTGCCATGAAGTGGTTTCTGACACATAGTAACTGTTTCTGTGGGGTTTGGAAACTAACTTTTCACCAGAGTTGAGAGCCTCATCTTTCTCCTGCGGAGTGGCTAGTGGTCTCAAAATGCTGACCTTGAGGTTAGGAGCCCAACATGTAGGTAATAACCCACTGTGCCACCATGGCCACCATGTAGGTAATAACCCACGATGCCACCATTTTTCGCCTGTAAAATTATTTATTTTGAAATCATAAAAAAATTCATAAGCATCATAGAAGGTTAAAACTTTTTTTTGAAGGAAGGGTTCCCAGGTTTTCTAGGACTTGAGGTTTCCTTTGGGGGTGAAGTGCAACCATAGCTGAAAGTGGTGGCGTACAGGGCTGATGTAATCTCCAGGTCAAAGTTTGGCCATTGATAGCTTTTTTTTCAAAATGTACATTTCTCTTATCGACATTGAGAAGGTGTTTTTGGATGGATTCTCCAGAGAAGCAAAACCAGTGAGGAGGGAACACAAGCCAGCAAGACTAGCATTTGCTGTCCAGGAAATGGCTTACACCGCTTGACACGCGGGCACATTCCAAGTTCCTGTGTCTGATGGGACACTGCAGGCTTTTGGGGGGGATGCTATGCCCAATACTGGCAGGTCAGGCTCTGACTGCACATGCACAATTCAACATCCAATATTAGAAGATAGAGGGAAATGAATTCATGTTCTGAAGGTAAAATAGCAATCTGCTGATGGTGCCCAAGGTTACTGGGCCAGTGATGAGCAGGATGGAGATGCAGTAAAAACCAAAAAATCAAGTTTTTCCACCACGTCCCCTTGTAAAGATGGACCTTGAAAAAAAAAAAAAGCAGTACATGCTTGTTATTACAAAGTGTCTTATGTACCTCGAATGCTAATAGAGTAGACTTCACGGTGGTGGGGTAGGGGTTGGTTCTTAACAACAGGTGGGTGGTCAGACATTCCTAAACTGGGGAATGCCTGCAAGGAACACATATAAAAGAACACCAGTTTAATTCTTGAATGTTAGCTTTTTAAAGGTTTTGGGGGCTTGATGGATTGTCTTAGAACTAACAGTACTGGGCATCTTATATTTCACGATTACTGAAAATATGAGGGCTGACATTGACCTTCAAGTGTAAATAAACACTCCATGGTAATAGGATCTAAAAATCAACATTAGGTGCTCTTCCCATTGAAGGCCTTGCTCAGGCATCAGCAATCGAGGAGACAGCCATGAGGGAAAATCACATTTACTATGCCATTTCATATGTATATTAGCTACAAAATGAAAATAGAAGAATTTGAATGGATTTTGAAAAGTCCTAGGGAAAATTTTCATTTTATTCCACTTCCCCATGAGCTTTTGGACAATCCCTTAAAATAGTAATAATTTCCATTTTCTAAGGTTTCACAATGTGCCAGGCATTTTACCAGAGACTATTTTTTTAAAAATCATTTTATTGGGGGCTCTTACAATTCTTATCACAATCCATCCATCCATCCATTGTGTCAAGCACATTTGTACATTTGTTGCCATCATCATTCTCAAAACATTTGCTTTCTACGAGAGCCCTTAATATCAGCTCATTTTTCCCTCCCTCCCTCATGAACCCTTGACAATTTATAAATTATTATTACTTTGTCATATCTTACACTGTCTGACATCTCCCTTCACCCACTTTCCTGTTGTCCATCCCCCAGGGAGGAGGTTATATGTAGATCCTTGTAATCAGTTCCCCCTTTCTACCCCACCTTCTCTCCACCCTCCTGGTATCGCCACTCTCACCACTGGTCCTGAAGGGATCATCTGTCCTGGATTCCCTGGGTTTCCAGTTCCTATCTGTACCAATGTACATTCTACCTGAGACTATTAAGAACAGTTTCAATCCTTAGAAGTGCTCACCTCCTGATTCCCTAATGCTCACCTCCCTGATTCCCTTACAGTCCCTACTCTCAGGACTAGAATCCTGGAGTCCTGCATCGAGCCATTTTGCAGATAAGGAAACATGAGTCCCTATGGGTTCCTAAATGGCTCATGCAGTTGGTTAGTAAAGGACATGCTAGGACACAGCTCTTAAAGCCCAATCAGATGTTCCTCATGCCTTGCACCTTGCCAAGAGGCTGCCACACAGCAAGACTAAGTAAACAAAGCAGTCCCAACAGGATGTTTCCTGGTACTGCACTCCCAAACCTCATTCCCTTTTGAGGACAGCAGGTGGTGCAGTGGTTAAGTGCTGGGTGGCTAACTGGAATGTTGACGGTTCATCGGTGGGAGAAAGTTGTAGCAGTTTTTGTCTTTAAAGACGACAGCCCTTGAGATTGCATGGGGATGGTCTGATCTACCCTGTCTTATAAGGCTGCCACAAGTTGGAAGGAACTTCCCCACAGTGGGCTTTATGGGATGGTTCATATTAAAACGTTAATGTGCTGGCTCAAGAGCACTGGGCCTATTTCTGGATAGATCAATGATCGATTTTTAATTCAGTACCAGCTTCCAACAAAAGGTGGATAAAGCACTACATTTCAACACACAAACACAATTAGCCATAGTTGTCTCAAGGAATGATTAGGGTGCTGTTTCTGTTTCCTGGTTTCCATAGCAATATGCTAACTGGATTTTAGGTTGCATTATGTAGTTGCCTTAACAGGTTTTCTGAATGTGTGTGCCATGATAAAAATATCAGAGACAAAAATTACAATTAAAGTTGTAGAAAGGCCCAGAAATCTCAAAGCAAACTAGAAAATAAGATAGATTATAAATGCAAACAACCTACTATGTATTTTCAACACTCAGTTTCCAGCTCCTGAGCATTTGTTATCCAATTGTGAAATTGTATGAAAATGGTCATTTTGATGTATTAAACACTAATAAGGAAATAACACTTCTTAAAAATAACACAAGAAGAGTATAATTGAAAGTATTTAAGTGTGTGAAAATCAAATAGTTAGATTTTACACGTTACCGAAATCAATTTGATCCTGCAAAGGGCTAGACCAGTGGCTCTCAGAGGGGTTGTGACCCCTTTGGGTGTTGAGCAGCCCTTTCACAGGGGTCGCCTAAGACCATCGGAAAACACATATTTCCAATGGCCTTAGGAAGTGAGACACTGCTCCTCTATCCGTCTCCAAGCGGGTCCGCCCACATGCAGAGATGCCCACATAGAGTAGTGAAGCGAAGACTGTCACCCATGCTATCCCGTGCTTCAAGACAAAATTTCATTTATTGTAATTAGAAATAAATATTTCACAATATATAATTACATACTGTTTTGTGATAAATCACTATGCTTTCATTATGTTAAATTTGTAGCAACGAAAATACATCCTGCATATCAGCTATTTACATTATGATTCATAACAGCAGCAAAATGACAGTGATGAAGTAGCAGCAAAACTAATGTTATGGTTGGGGGGGTCACCACAACACGAGGAACTGTATGAAAGGGTCATGGCATAAGGAAGGTTGAGAACCACTGGACTAGAGGTTAATTCCACATTTTTGGAACTGAGTGGAAGCAGATACTTTCAGGGGTCACGGGAATTTTGAAATTCTCTTTTGGTTTTGTGGCACCTTTTAGTTGCTGCTGACAAATTCTCCTTGGCTCTGTGGCACAGGTGACATTGTATGAGGAGGCTCTCTTGGTATTTTCCTAACCCTACTCCCTAATCAGACATGGCTAGCTGGCACAACCCAACACCTGTTCTCAACCAGATTCTCCCCGGTCTGTCTGCTTTCTGGGAGCTGGAAAAGCAGACGGTATTTGCTTTTCCTTTTCCGGATTCCCTTGAAGCAGACGTGGCCGTGTGATGACAGCCTGA